CTGGACGCGAGCGTCGTGGTGCGACGCGACAAAAGACAATAGAACACATTATAATTATGGCCCTATGATTTCTGTGATGCGGAAAACGCGGACGGAATCCAGTCATAAAAACAGAATTTACTGTATAACGCGGAATGCCACGGAATTTGTCAAAGTTTGGGTGAATAAATCAAAAGTACGTAGGTCATTACACTTAAATCAAATCGCAATATTGACTGGTATCTGTAAATATTAAGCTGCAAAAATACCATTTAAATATGAATCCTGCATGTCTCTTTATGAATGAATGGCACAGACGCGCGGTTTCGTTTGCTACACACATACTGAAGTGCGCAGTGTTTTCAGCGTCTGCTGTCTCGCTAAATGAGAACATAAATACATGAACAACAGTCAGTGTCTGCTCTATTATAAATAATTTATATTTTAAAAATATAATATTATAAATAATAAAAATTAATAAATGAATTAATTTATAATTAATTTGAAATTAATGAATAATAAAATATTCGCTTGTTTTGTTTACTGTGTGGAGACGTGCTGATATCGCGTTTTGGTCTCGTTCTGTATCGCGTATCTTGTCAGTGACAACAGCATTTATTTGAAAAGGAATTATTTTGTAACATTATAAATGTCTTTACTGTCACTTTTTTTTTTAATCAATTCAATCCATCCTTTCTGAATAAAAGTACCAAAAAAAAACAAAACAAAAAACTCACTTCTGGGAAAAATTGACCAAAAATACTGATGAGTCATCTTGCCCACATTTCTGTCCAACAAAATGTTCTTAAAACCCCCTGCCTTGCTAGAAATAGCATGTAGCACATCATCTTGGCACATAATAAGAATAATGCATTTTATTTTCTTTCCAAACCATGAATTGTTTGCAAAGGAAATGTTTTGAATTCAGTTATTTTAAAAACATCTTCACTGCTTTCTTTTTATTCACTGGTGGTTTCACCAGGCTATGAAATAAACTAAAGCTTATTGGCTATTAAAATAAGGCACTTATATGCCCTGCCCTGGCTTCCCGTTGTAGAAACATGTCCCAAAAAAAAGGTACTTGACAATATCTTTTTGTGGGGTTTTGTTTTTGCTAATTATATGAAGGTCCCATATATTTCAACATTTTTTTAAATTAGCGTTTTTTATGGCGTTTGTAATTTGTTATTTTGTTTTCAGAATTGTGATTTGCTTTGCACTTCTCGGCCACCGTAGAAATGTACTTGGCCACAACTATGATCATTCTTCCTTGAATATTCAAGAAATGCATTAAATTAACTTTAATATGAACACAGATGATGATCAGTATAACACACACAGCACTCATATTTTGCATTTACCTCTATATAATTTTTCCCTAGTCTTTCTCCATCTTGCTGAGCTTACAGACATTTAAAAAAAAAAAAAAAAAGAACATGCAAAGGTTTTGTGTTTCATTTTCTACAAAGACTTTTCAATTTGACTGAGGTGTTTGTTTAAAAAAAAAACTAATCACAAAAGTATGGGGAGGAAAAAACTATTTCAAAACCTCAAAATGCGTTTTGCACAGATCTAACCCCATATAACATGAGACCGCTTCAGTGTGCACAACCATGTGTTTGTGTGAGGTGATCGCGCTCAGCCAATCAGAGGCCTAGAAAGCGCCTCGCTATGTGAGGTTACTATCGGACACCGTCCGCTTCAGCCCAGGGTTACTGTCGGTCACTTCACTATATTCACTGGACCATTAATAATCTCAATACTAAAGGCTACAATAATGCAAAGCATATAAATGCACACGCTGATATATAAATCACACTCTGAAGATAATTCCGTGTCGAAATATATATATTTTTAAACATATTTTGGTGTGAGATACAGAATCGATGCCGTTTTATGTGCTTCGGTCTTAAATATGAGTTATAATGCAGCTGTGTTGGTAGGTCAGAATATGGCCGATAGTAACCTCGCGTGACGTCACACGTTGGAGGGGGCGGGGCTTCTGCCGCCAGACAATGAACACTGTCCACAGACACCCTGCGTTTATTTCCGATTTCATGAAGTCTAGCATACAAAGATTCAAGATTTTTTTATTTGTCACATACATGGTTATATAGGGAATATATGACCAGCAGTGAAATGTAAGTAAACGCAATAACCAAAGCATTGGTTTGGGATTACTCGCCGCTGACTGGACGAGACATCTGTCAAAGCAACAATAACCATGCGCACATAAAGCAGCCAGGCATCTGATTTTTGTTTACGTAGCTGACGCCCACTGTCACTGTTAGCATGTTTAAAAGGGGATGCAGTTGATTCTGAGCAAAACAAGCATCCTATATGATGACACAGTGGCTAGATATGATAGCTTGCGTATTGTAGATTTTACAAATAACTATAAAATAAGTTTGAACATAAACAAACACGTGTATACGTCTGACAGCACCATATGTAAATATGTATCGGTCCCTAAACTACAAACACACCATTCGCTTTGTCCAGCACCGCGAGTGTAAACAAATGATCTCTTACCGTCGATGTCATTGAGCAGAGCCGTGTCAATATCACTCGGATCGTGAAAAGACAAGCTGGAGCCCAGGGTGTCCAGCGACGGGTCATCAAAAGACAGGTTCATTGTCCTCAAGCGCTCTTTCAAGCCGACTTCAAAAGTATTCGAGACACAGCGTTATTCCATGTAAACCGAGAACTTCTTGCACTTGTCGGGAGAGCAAACGTTCGCGGACATTTACCGGCTGCGTTTCGTATTATCCGTCCGCGTAATTCTCGACAAATTCAACTTTGGTGCTGATTCTGTCTACTATCTGCTCGCGGCCGCACAAGGCAAAGTTGACTTAAGAGTTTGCTTTGCACATTGGCTTGCTAGCAGCGCGAGCCAGGCACGCCCACAGACACGCCGTGGGTGATTGACACGCCGCCCGACCAATCAGAACTCGCTCTTGAAGCGCAAGCGATGACGTGCGCATCTCGGTACGGCCATTCAAGTGTATTGTAATCTAAGGTTGGAAAGATAATTTAAGTCACTTATTCGAGATTGACTTTTTACTGTAATTTGTTTTTACTTAGAGTATGTTTTGGATTGTTATTATAATTTTTGTTGCCGTTTTTTACATATATTATTTTGATTTTAAGCATTTAAATGTTTTAAAAGCGTCTGTCAGCTATTTAAATAGGTTAATAATTACACTGACCTGTTTAATTAATACGCTGACAGTCAGTTTGTGTTAAAAGAGTATAAGTATTCAATATATTCTTAATGTGAAGTGCCGAATAAACAGCCCATTTTTTGTTTACAAAATCTCGGTCGGTGGTGGGCTTGTCTCCGTCAGCCAATCAGAGTTAAGCAGAGGTGGGCGCTGGGCGATCAGGTTAGGCAGAGCCACAGCGATGACTCCGCCTGTAGAACCAGAGAAACCGACCAATAGGGAGTCCGACAGCGAGTGGGCTGATATGACGACACACGTGTGGCTCCGTGATTACATCATGTGTTTCTCATAGAATAAAGGTTA